CTCATCAATCAAACCAAGAAAAATACACAAAAAGAAAGAGGGAAATGTTTTTGCAACCGAAAAAATGGTGAAAAAAATGAAGTTCTTTGGGGCTGCCTGGGTGGCTCAGTGGGTTAAAGCCTCTGCCTTCGGCTCAGGTCATGGTCTCAGGGTCCTGGGATCGAGTCCCGCATCGGGCTCTCTGCTAGGCAGGGAGCCTGCTTCCTCCTCCCTCTCTCTCTCTCTCTCTGCCTGCCTCTCTGCCTGCTTGTGATATCTCTGTCAAGTAAATAAAATCTAAAAAAAAAAACAAAAAAAACAAAAAGTTCTTTGTAAAAGCAATATGTCAAAAAATAAAACGAAAAAAAAAATAAATAAAACGATAACTTCTAAAAAGCAAAATATCAACATGCTAATGGGGCCTCTTTTCCAAAGTTTAACATCTTTTTTCTTTTTTTTTTTTTTTAAGATTCTACATATTTATTTGAGAGACAGAGAGAGTACAAGCAAGGGGAGAGGCAGAAGGAGAAGCAGACTCCTCACCAAACAGGGAGCCCAATGCAGAACTCGATTCCATGACCCTGGGTTTATGACCTGAGCCGAAGGCAGACGCTTCACCGACGGATCCACCCAGATGTCCCAAAGTTCAACGTCTTAAGTTCATGAATTGTTTGACGCTTTGTACAAAACCACCATCATGCACTGAATCTTAAATCCACATACCAGATTCACTGCAGAGGAACACGGCTCCCCAAACTTATCCTCATGTGAATTTGTGAAATATTTTATATCTGGTGGGTTTGAATCAGACTTTCAAACTAAAACGACTTAAAAAAAAAAAAAAAAAAGACGTACCATATACCATGTGCTACCAATAGGGGGCAGCCTCGACATTATAAACCCATTATTCTGCGTTAATAAGGTCTTCTTCCTTCCTAAGGTCATGGAAAACCACTTCATTTTTACGTGCTTTATTCTTAGAAAAGGGTAATAGATGACATCCTATAGGGCAAAAACCAGACTGAATTTAACTGCCTCACAAAGCATCCCTAGGACGGCCTCTTTCTTAAAAACCATCAGAGACATCAGTCACTTTGTGTAAAACTGCTCGCCCACACAATCAATTTCTCATTAATGCAGACCTTTCCATAATACGAGAAATGCAATTATCACCTTAGCCAAGCCCACGTCATCAAAAAAAAATTTTTTTTAGTTTTTATTTTTAAGTAATCTCCATACCCAGTGTGGGATTCGAACTCATGTTCCTGAGACCAAGCCCTAAGCTGAGATCAAGAGTTGGGATGCTTGGGGCGCCTGGGTGGCCTAGTGGGTTAAGAGTCTGGCTTCAGCTCAAGTCATGATCTCAGGGACCTGGGATGGAGACCCCATTGGGGTCCCAGCTCAGTGGTGAACCTGCTTCTCCCTCTCTGCCCCAGCTTATGTTCCCTCTCTTGCTATGTCTGTCAAATAAATAAAAAAAAAATAATTATCATATGGTTTCACTTATTTGTGGAGCGTAACAAATAGCATGGAGGACAAGGGGAGCTGGAGAGGAGAAGGGAGTTGAGGGAAATTGGAAGGGGAGGTGAACCATGAGAGACTATGGACTCTGAAAAACAATCTGAAGGTTTTGAAGGGGCGAGGGGTGGGAGGTTGGGGGAACCAGGTGGTGGGTATTGTAGAGGGCACGGATTGCATGGAGCACTGGGTGTGGTACAAAAACAATGAATACTGTTATGCTGAAAAGAAATAAAAAAATTTTTTTAAATTAAATTAAAAAAAATAAATAAAATCTTAAAAAAAAAAAAAGAGTTGGTTGCTTAACCCATGAATCACCCAGGAATCCCTAAAACTTTTGTTTTTACTAAGTATCTTTACACGCAGTTGTGGGGCTTGAAATCACAACCCCAAGATGAAAAGTCACACGCTCCATGGACTGAGCCAGCCTGGTGCCCCAAAGAGGTGTATTTTCTAGATGGTCCTGTCCAGCATGGGAGCTGTATGTACTTTTGGAGCACTTACAATGTACTAAGGAATTAAGATTTTAACCTGCTCTTAATTTAAAATTACATTTAAAACCCAATACTCGATGCAGTTACGGAGAAAGTTTCCGGTATTTTCGGGGAGCCTGGGCATGTGAGTCTTGTTTTTCCAGCTGTAAATGTTACGGACATTCAATAAAGATGAAGTATTTCTGATGAAATTATTGGACCCTAATAGGGATGCACCATACAGATAAAATGCACAAGGGATTTCAAGCACTTAGCAGCAGAAATTCATGTAAATCTTCTCAATTTCCGTAGCGATTATATGCAGAAATACTTGCATCAGACATATGCTGAATGAGGTAGGCTAGGTTATTAAATGTCTCCTTTCTTTTCTCAAGATTTTATTTTGAGATCAGCTGTATGCCCAACATGGGACTCGAACTCACAGCACTGTGCTGAAGACTTGCACGTTCTACCAACTGAGCCCCCCACATGCCCTGACATTTTACTTTTGAAAACACGGCTTCGTGAAGAGTTTAAATCATACATGAGGTGTGTGTTGTAATTGCACAGGATGGCACTGCTCTACGGGTTAATTTTAGGATCATAAATTACTCAGTGTGTTCGGGGGAACAGAACGTGTCCTGAGCCTTTTCCGTGGAATATTTTAGGACGTGTAGATGTAATGGTATCAGCAAAAGACAGCCCTGTCTCCCTCTGTCTCTGTCTGGGTGTGTGACTCTCTTCCCCACCTAATTGTACCAAGCGACCAATGAGCCAACTGTGAGGAAAGAAGGCTCTCATTTTAGTGGAGGGGAAAAAAAAAAAATAATAACAACAACAACACTGCAAAATAATCCAAAAAGCAAAAGAAACAAAACCTTAGAAAACTAAAGTATGACGTGATGGGAGGTCTACACAGCGTATAAGGCAGTTTCGACACCCATCTTTATATCCTTCTTCCCGTTACTCATGTCTTTGGACTAAAAAATGAAGAATTCCATTCAAACCTTTTGACCCAAGACAAGCCCCCAGGGCTTCGCGGGAACTCCGGGCTTCAATGCATGGGATTTACAATCTTAAACTTTCCGTGTATTCTCTATACAAAGGCCGCACTGTTCCTAATGTAGGGAGACGTTCCCTATAGACCATGACACTGGAAGACCCGTGGACATCAACACTTACCTGCTTTCCATCAGCCTCACTGAAGCTGAAGGTTACGTATTTTAAATCACACACATTCGCTGGAAACATTCTCCCAGAGCTCGAGGGCAGTCTGGACTACTGGGTAAAGGACATGAAGAAGATGTTTTATGCCCCAACGCCGTTATGATTTCATTTTATAGGACTATTCGTGAGGAGATCCACCAGGGCAAAGGATGGTGAGAACATCTGTTCCCGTGAGCCCAGGGTTACAAATTGACATTAGAGAACCCAGCTGACATAGAAATCTGTGGGCACGGGGTATGGACCCTGCCTTCACTGACAGAGAAAAACAGTAAACGGATAATCTACTTGGTCGGCAAGAGGACTTTTTCAGTGTTTCATTACTCTGAGAAATAAAAACCCAGATGGGACATTATCTTAAAGTGACATATGCTGAATGAGGTAGGCTGTCTTATTAAATGTCTCCTTTCTTTTCTCAAGATTTTATTTTGAGGTCAGCTGTATGCCCAATGTGGGACTCGAACTCACAACCCCGTGATGAAGACTTGCACACTCTACCGACTGAGTCCCCCAAGATGAGCCCGCCAAGATGACCTTGTGCGTAATTTCTTCTTGTCAAAGATGGTGAAAGGATCATGTCCACCTCGGACCCCTCCCAAAAGGCAATGAGGAACAACAGGAAGAAGTTTTTTGTTATTTTTTTGTTTTTTAAGATATTATTTAACAGAGAGAGAGAGCTCACAAGTAGTCAGAGAGGCAGGCAGAGAGAGAGGGGGAAGCAGGCTCCCTGCTGAGCAATGAGCCTGATGCAGGACTCGATCCCAGGACCCTGAAACCACGACCTAAGCCGAAGGCAGAGGCTTAACTCACTGAGCCACCCAAGCCCCCCAGGAAGAAGTTTTTAGAAAGCATAAAGCATGGGGCACCTGGGTGGCTTAGTTGGTTAAGCACCGGCCTTTGGCTCAAGTTCTCATCCAGGGGTGCTGGGATCAAGCCCTGATTTGGACTCCCTACTCAGCAAAGAATCTGTTTCCCTCTCTCTTGACCCTTGACCCTTCCCTCCCTCTTCTGTTCTCTGTCTTGCTCTCTGCCTCTAATATATAAATAAAATCTTTAAAAAAAGACACGAGGATTCAGAAGGGGCAAACAGACAGCAGGACAAAATTTTGGAAGCTGTCCCAGGAGCTGGACCCCAAAAAATGGAACAAGCCAACCCGAGTGCTGGAAGGACCCGGGTCTTCTGCTAAGAGTGGAAATGAGCTGGGCGGGGAGGGGAGAGAGCTCCTTGACGCACAGCAAAAGCAGGTATATGATTCTGATAAAAAGAGGAAGTCATCTGAGCGACAGCACCGCGCGCCTGCCAACGGCGATGATCAAAAAGGTGAGACAAGACCGGTGACAGCGAGGACGTGGAGGAAAGGGGAACGCTCACGACGTTGGCGGGAATGCAAACTGCTGTATCCAAAAATGCAGACCACGGCTTGGAGGATCCTCAAGACGCTGAAAAGGAAAGGACCCTACAACCAGCAACGGCACAGCTGGGTACTGACGTGAAGCAAATGAAAACAGTACCGTAAAGACATCCCGGCACCCCCGTGCTCACCGCAGCGTTACCGACAGCAGCCAGGCCCTGGCAGAAACCCACGTGTCCACTGACAGGTGAACGGAGAAAGGAAACGTGGTCTACACGGACCAGGGCTATTATTCGTCCTTGAAAAAGGACATCCCACCATTTGCAACCATGTGGAAAGACCTCCAGGCCATTCTGTCGAGGAAGGTAAGTTGGACACCCAACAGGAGCGCACATCCCCATGGAACCCAAAAAACAAGGCACTCGGTGGGGATGGAGGGAGAATGGTGGCTTACTTGTCAACCAGCTTCTTGGCGAAGCCGAAGTCGGTGAGCTTGATGTGCCCCTCGCGGTCCAGCAGGATGTTCTCAGGCTTCAGGTCCCTGTAGACGATCTCCCGGGAGTGCAGGTACTCGATGGCGCAGACGATCTCCGCGGAGTAGAAGAGCCCCGTGCTGCTGGAGAAGCGGCCCCGGTTGCGCAGGTAGCTGAAGAGTTCGCCGCCAGGCACGAACTCCATGAGCATGTAGAGGAAGCGGTCGTCGTGGCACGTCCAGAACCTGCAGGGGGACAGCGGCAGCACAGGAGTGAGCCCAGTGGGCATTAATGATGTCCTCCACGCGGACCAGGGCGTCCACGCAGAACTCCGGACGCTAAAATACGCAAGCGAGCGAACATTAAAATCTGCTAGAGATAGAGGTTAACAGACTGCAGCAAAATAACCAAGAGGGCTCCTGGGGGACTCGGTTGGTGAAGGGTCTGCCTTGGGCTCCGGTCATGATCTCAGCATCCTGGAATGGAGCCTGTTTCTCCCTCGGCCCCTCCCATGGGCTTGGGTTCATGCTCTCTCTCAAATAAAGAAAATCTTAAAAAAAAAATCTCAGCCCATAGGCTGAATGGTTCACTCAAAGATGATGCGTGGAAGCCCTAATCTGTAGGACTTCAGAATGGGAACGTACGAGGGGATAAGGTCTTTGAAGAGGGGATGGAGGTAAAATGAGGTCAGCAGGATGGGCTCTGATGCCACAGGACTGGGGTCCTTATAAGAAGAGGAGATGAAGACAGACATGCACAGACAAATGACCCTGTGAAGACACAAGGAGAACAGGGTTTACACACCAAGAAGGAAAGTCTCGGGAGGAACCGGCCCTTGGCCCCGCGTGGATCCCACGCTCCCAGCCTCCAGGACTACAGGAGATAAACATGTGTTGTTCAAGCCGCTCAGTCTACGGGGTTTGTTCGGGAAGCCCAAGCAAATTCATGCACATCTTAGGGAATCACCCCTGGTTCGGCAACCCAGCCCTGTAATCCAGACTAGAAATATCCAGACCGCCACCCAAACACTGGCCTGGGTAAGGCAGTGATTAGTAAAGTCCCGGAGAGTCAGAAGAGTCGCTTTGTCCTTGCAAAGGCACTCAGAGCTCTGTTACTGTCAGGAGAAGCGGTGATGGGGAATGGAATGGGGCGTGACAGAAGATGCCAGCTCCTGTCTGCTTTCAAGAAGTCTTGGCCAAAGGAAACAGTAAAAAACACATTGCAGGGAGATCAGCGGTGATGGAGGAACAGTATTTTCTCATACAGGAGACACAGAGAAGAGAAACGAGGTCAGCAACTATGCTCTGCATTGTGGAGAGGACTAGGAAGTCCCCCAGTAAAAGCCGCCCCATGGGATGGGGGACGCACAGGACGCTAACCACGGCCATGCTAGCGTGTCTACACTGTAAGGCTCCCGTTGGCGTCTTCTGGGATCAGGACACTAGGGTGCTTCCCTGCAGAGTTGACTCCCCATGAGCTGTGTCTATCTGGCCTTCACCAAAAATACAATTATGCCCAGAGAACCGGCCATCCCTACGGAAGGATGGTCATGGCACCTGCTCTACTAGAGGGTCTCACCTGCCGGGATGGGCATTTCAATAAAATAAAGTAAAATGGGGGGAGGGGGGGACAGCTTGCCATGACATGACGATTAACTCAAAGGGAAACCATAAAGGGGTAAGCCTATCCAGTGATCAGGACACGCGGGAGTTAAGGCAAGTTAATAAAAACATGACGAGCAGAAAAAAAATCCCCATCACAGAAATGAAAAACTGTGCTCGGCTCAAGGAAAGCAGTTAAAAAAAGAATGTTTGGTTTGTTAATCACGGTGTTTCCATGTATCGGCAAAACATGGGTCAGGTGTACAAAAGGCTTTCAGGAAATGCACATGGAAACCATTCGGTGTTGCTGTTTGGGAAGACACGTACCCACCAACGAGCTTTTTGCACAAACACCATCATCTCTCCAAGCTACTAACCGGCCGGAGGTCCCTGTTTTCAGTTACCGAAGGCTTTGCATCTGTGTCCTGCTTCCCCTTCTTGCTTCTGGCAGCTCCAAACACTCAAGATTTGCGGTCCGGAGGCACGAACGGATACAGGAAGCAGGAACGCTGCTTTGGGGGTTTTGGTTGCTACTGCCACTTCCTGAAGAAATCTTTTACAGTTACACAGACTCTGTGACCAGCCACAGGCTTCCTACCATTTCAAGCCCAGAGGGGTGTTTCCCTTCTGCCCAATGCTCAGCTTCTTAATTAGTATGGCAGGAACATTTCCTTCCCACGATGCTTCCATATAAATGCCCAGTATTTCAAATGCATATGGCGGCCACACTCTGCTCTCCTGGGGGAGCTTGGAATCCAACAACGACTTCACCACTCTGGTGGGGAATTATGTTCTAGGGTCCAAATAACACGGGAGTGGTGAACTTATAGAATGAACCTTTCTGGAGGCTGGGGAACGTTCCAGATTACTCCTGAACAAGAGGAGTGCCAAACTGAGTTAGAACTGATCAGAAAAGGCCTCGTGTTCTAGAATTTGGGGGCAGCACGGAGCCCTGGAAATGACCCCCAATGGTCAAAACTAAGTCATAGCAGTTTTGTTGAAATTCACTGGAAAGGTAGGAAAATATGCAGAATCCTGTCTACCACTCAAGTACATTAGGTACATGCATGTGCGTGCTCACACATGCACACACACACACACACACTCACCAATTAGTATGCACCCATTTTCTGGATATATTCTACAGCCACTCCTACTGATCCACAGCACAAATAATAATCTACTCAGATCCTTTCTCAACGCTTGAGAACAATGCATCAGCCATGATGGAATGCAACCTAATTTCACCCTAGGAAGGCATGGTAGATAACTCACCATGCGGGAGATGACAACGGGGACAGGGGAGTGAGGATTAATCAACCAAATGGAATGCATCAACCCCTGAGACAGGATGGGTGGAGACCAGGAGATTCGGGCAGAAGGAGTGGGGCTGACAATCTCAGAGTCCATCAACTGGGCTCCAGAGGAGTTGAATCTCATCCACTGGTAGGTTTATATATATATAAAAATTGGGACCTGGTGTCTATTGTTCTGCTCCCAATTCCAAGATGTGTTGTTCTTTTCCCCACACCACCGAGCAATTCTGTGACACCAGCTGGGTGTCCTACAATTCGACTCCATTCTGGCGCTGTCTATACCTGGAGACAGCAGGAGATCTACAGGGGAAGGGTGTACCCTTCAGTACTCCCCCAGCACACACAATTCTGATGCCAATCACAGTCCATGTCCTGTGTGTCTGGTAGAGCTGGTATAGGTTAGAGGTTCCAAACTCTCCTCCTTGGGTCCCAGTAATCTGGCAGAGGTGCTCCTAGAGCTCAGGAAAACATGTTACTCACTGGGTCATGGGTTTACTATACAGAGATAAAAGTTAGGAAAAGCCAGATGGTGGAGACGCAGAGCACCAGGTGTGGGGAAGGTTGAGAACCGGCCATCTGTGTCTTCTCCAAGTGATCCACTACCCCCAAATCTCCCCAAGCTCCCCATCCTGGAAGCTCCCAAACACTCTTCTTCTGTGGTTTCAGGGAAGCTTCAGGATGATTAAATGACCGCCCATTGGGGATTAACTCAGCCTCTAGCCCCTCTGCCCCTATGCAAAGGGACCAAGAATTCCAACCCTCCAATTATAGGATTGGTTCCCAGGCAACCAGCCCCTGCCCTAGGGTGTTTTCCAAAGTCACCTCCTTCACATAACAAAAGCCACCTTTGTCACTCTTATCAAAGAGGAAATTCCAAGGGTTTTAAGAGCTCAGCGGCAGGGACAAAGACCAAACGTCTATAATCAGAATATCACCGTGACAAAAATCACAGACAAATGAATGAGTGGGGAGAACTAGCCCTATAGACATTTGTAGCCCATTTGTCGCACAAATCTCTCAATAAAATCCAACAAAGTACCAACAACAACCCAAAAAAGGGCACTCTATCTTAAGTGGACAGCCAATCCTACCTACACACATCACAGTCCAGTGCCATCCGTAACCAGAATCCTTGAGAAGTAAGTAAGAGCTTGCAAATAAATGTACTCTGTGAAGACTCAAAAACTGAGACTATGGAAAAAAAAAATTTGTGGGGGCCCAGGCTCCCCTCCCTGTCTTTCCTCAAGTCCAATAAATATCCTAAGGGGGTGGGGGGAATTCCACGGGCATCTTTTCCTCAAATTTGCATGAATTAGACTTCTCTTATATGGAGAGAATGGGTAACATTGGGCATTATGAGTAAGAACCAAAATATTTTAGGAGATGCTGACGTTACTATTCCAAAAACATTGACAAGCATTAGGTCATCACTTGGGGCCTGTGGGAAGGGAGGAGGAGTCCGGGTGGCCCTACATGAATTCAAATCTGGTTTTAGAAATTGAGAAACAGTAATAAGGGCATCAGCCAAAGCACTGGTTAATTCATTCCCATTCTTTGTAGGACTTGGCCCCTTGTATGGGTCTATAAACAACAAAACTCAAAGGCAAAAAGACATAAATGGGTTTGTCACCAGTGGTACTGATGAGGGAGCAGGAGGCTGGCTGAGGACAAAGCAGAAGCTGGCACCTTGCACCCCTCTCCACCTCCTCCCCCCGGGAATATGTGTAACATTCCTCAGGCACCCCTCACCGCCATAAATGAGAAACAAATAGTTAACTTGCAGAGATCACAATCCTGCAAGACAGGAATCTCCCAACTATCTTGATGTTAATGGCTTGCTAAAAGACAACAGTGGTCTCCCCGCACCTTGTAGGCGCTCTTTAGCATATGAAAACTCCGTTGAAACCTTCCTTCCCCTCACCTTCCCCCACCCCCACGGTACATAACCTGCCATCCCTCACAACCCGGGGCAGCAGCTCTTCCTGCCCACGGGTCCTGTCCCCGTGCTTTAATAAACCACCATTTTGCACCAAAGATGTCTCAAGAATTCTTTCTTGTTCATCGGCTCCGGACCTCAGCCCACCGAACCTCACCTAGGTTCTAGAACTTCATCAGTATGAGAGAAAGAGGCATTCGTGGATGTAAAGTTCAGTATGTATTAGGAGTCTTGCTTGAGCACTGTGGATCAACAACTCCTGAAACACAACTCTATCCACTTCCACATTCAACTTGCTCTTTGCTTCATTTACTAGGTAATTTCTTTTTTAAAGATTTTATAGATCCAAAAGAGAGAGAGAGAGAGAGAGGTATCACAAGTGGTAGGCAGCA